CTTCTATACAACGAAATGAGACTGCGACCACACAAAAGGCCACACCATCTTGGTCTTCATACCTTCGATTTATCTACATCGTTTTTTTTAGCATGTATCATTAACATGTTTTTGCGATTGCTTTACAATTTGATTGTTTCATTATAATACACATTTTCTTCCTATTTCTGGCATATTTCTTGTTTACTTAATAACATCTATTGTCTTACTTAATTTAGGTTCTCTTGGCCACACCTGGGGTCGTGCATACTATTACCAGTCCAACAAGCTTCCGAGCTGAATATCGTCGTGCCGGTAGCGGGTCTAGCCTATTGGCCCGGCCTGTCAAGCTACAGGTAGACATGGTGCGAGCCACAGCCTCAGCTGCCACCCTGGCAAATGTGTCATCTTCAATTTCGTCACCATTCGCTTCTTCCTCTCCATCCTCTCAAATGACTGGACAAATTATTGGATCGCCTATATCTGGCCTCTCTGTGCCACCCGAGCGAGAACTATATGCCGTCAACTTTCAACTACTTTCTGGTAAGTATTGTATAACGTATTATTATATCCTACCTTCGTGATTCAACCCAAATCTTATGTATTAAATCTAGTCTACTTAACTTTCACGTGAAACAGTTGACTTTACACAACTAAATTAAATTTAATGTACTTCGTATTTGAAGTAAAGAGTTTCTCACATTTTGGAATTTTCCTTATCCCAGGCTTAGCACAGCCTCTAAACAAGATTTGTGTCTACTTTCTGTGCCTTTTCTTATTGATCTATGAATTGTAATTATGTTGTATTCTTCGACTCATTCTTGCATATCTATTGTCAATAACTGATCAAAAACTTTCTTCATCATACCAGTTTCTTCTGTCTTCTTGATCGGTAGAACCGGGTACTGGTATTTGCATACTATAACACTTTGAGTGTCTGTAGAATTCATAGCATAAAAACCCTTATAATTATTATCATTTGTTTATTTGCGGTTGATGAGATGCCTCTCTTAAAGACTTGCTCATAAACTGATCTCATAATTGTCACTATTAACAAATAAACACTAACCCCCCTCCCAGTTTAGAATATGAATTTTTACGGAATACTTCTGTTACTCATCGGTGCAGATCGGTTGAAGGCATTACAAGACTCCGCTATACTACTCAATAAAGAGCTTCCTTACCTTGAATATTTCCCCAAGAGTAAAAGTTGCATGATGGCTTGATGATAACTAATCGATTTACTGCCATTTTTGCTCTGCTTATTTGTCAGGACACAGCTATTCGTTAATGACGAAAATTCTGCATCCAAATAGATTATTAGTCTTCTTTTTGGTGTTGCAGAACAGTCTTTTACTATGGATTTCATAATCACAATAAAGTCATCGATTCAGAGCTAGCTTTCCAAGTACTGTAAAGTTTGAACGAAGCTCTTTAAATAACAAAAAGGTTTGCTTCCTACTGATCCTATTTCGGGCCACCCATTGCAGCCAACTTTGCTTTTGAAGTCTTTACTTGATAGGTGTGATTTCCCTTTGCTTTACTCTTTGCCAAATCTTCCTGATAGAAAAACTGAGAAAGGAATGATTTTTAACAAAATTC